GCAGTTCTATACCAGAGGCAAATTGAACAGTATCTACTTCTTTATTTGACATTTAAATGCTATTAAAATGCTTAGCTCTCTCTTTTCTGCCATACTTAGAGGTTTCTGAGGTATTTTAATATGAAGATGAACAATATCTTTATCTGTTGAGCTTCATGAACAAAGCATTTATCTATTATATCTGTCTGCTATAATTTAAAATAAGTAAATTACAACGTTTCTTAGGCACTAAAGCTCCATTGTGAGCTGCCTCGGTATGGATGGGGGTGCTTGCTACACTTTTCAGGAAAAATTTGGATCAGACCCAGGGGAAACATCCAAAATACCTTGCTTTAGTGAGAATGTCAGATACTGAAGCACCTATTTTGAAAGCACAGAATCTAAATATGATATTAAAGTGAAAGTAGCTCCATGGTTATAAAAAGGGAGATAATAATAGTAGAAGCCCCTCACTAGCATCCATGAATGGTAGCAAGTTACTCAGACTGCCATGCTATCTGAGGTATGATACAAATATAACACAAAAACTCAATAAGCAGCCTGTTGTCCTTATGTCAACATTCTAATTATGGGCCCATTTCTAAGCACGTGGACAGAGAGCTCACAGCTGTGTTTTGCAGCATGAACTGGGAGAGGACAGAGGACTGATGACCCTTTTTTGTGTTGTATGTTCCTCTATGAGATACTCAGTGATGTGGAAGCACCATTTCCTCCTCAACTCCAGCAGAAGTCTGGGCATCTCTGTAGTTCTGGAAAGAAGCCTGGGCTACCAGTGATCTGCATTTGCCCAAGCACATGGCTTTGTGTCCAGGAGCTGAGAAAAGCCCCAGGAGAAGCAGCTTGTGCTCTGATGGGGGGACCGGGACCAAGTGCACCGGTCAGCCCTGGGTAGTGTGGGACAGTCTGACTTCATGGCTATAAACCAAGATGTTACCTGTGCAGGAAGCTCTCCTGTCAGCAATGCAGTCAATCAGCAACATCTACTGTCAATGCTGAAAAGGATCCAGAGCTGATGAATGATGCCTTTTGTGGCTGGAAAAGGAGCTCAAAATGGCAAGATGTAGGGGTCTAAAGTTTATGTAGAGAAATATTGCTGGGACTGAATGAGACCACCTGAAATGGGCCATTGTGCCATGCACAAATATCTTCTCATGAGTTTTAATCTCCTTCTGGGGCAAACAGTTTCTGCAGTGAAGACCTGGAGGGGCTTTCCAGGCTGCCTTTTTGCCATCTGTGTCTTAGTTGACCTTGGTAAGATTTTGAAAGGAATTAGCAGTCAGTGATTCACTAGAGCCAGGGAAGCAGAAGTGCTACTGCTTTTCCATTGCACATTCTGTATAGCCATTGCTAACTAATTAGTTTCTATAAAGTGTTTTTCTCATGCAGTCTCTCAACAGTCAATGCCAAGTTTTTCAGGAGCTATGTCACTCAGTCATGTTTCCCACTTAGGCAATCTCTTAAGATCTGGTTAAGCTGTGCCAGGAAATAGGGAAGTAGGCACCAAAAGAAAAGCCAAATAATTTTATCTCCCTAGATTTAACATCCTTCTCCAGTGCTTTTGTCTTTTACCCCCAGAGCCCCCACTCATCTTCACAGCATGGCCCAGGGCATATCTTTACCACTGACTTGTAAAATCACTGCTGGCACACTTGAGCACTCCTAGCTGGAGTGGAATGAGCACAGACAGTGTGGAAGAACAAGATGGACTCTCTAAATGCACTGGCAGAAAAAGAGATGCTAAAAAACTGCGTCCCTTCACTTAACCAGGCAGAGGACTTGAGGACAAAGGACATGGATATGGTTGAGGTAATCTGTTCAGCTGGGAGAAAAGAAAAATAAGATCTCATGGTTGCCTGCAGGTATCTAATGGAAGGGAAGGCTGAACCAGATTCTACCTGGAGGTGCACAGCAAAGGACAAGAACTTGCACGGGACACAAGCTGCAACACTGGGAATTTCAATGAGGTATTAGGAAAAAAATTTATTGTGAAGACAGTCAACCAGTGGAACAGGAGCCCAGAGGAGTTGTGGACTCCTGATCCTTCATTTAAAGCTCAGCTGGACCAGGCTCTGCACAACCGAATCTGCTCGGAGTGGCAGGTGGGGTCCAGCAGCCTCCAGATATTTCTTCCTGCCTCTTCTTCTTTATAAGTCTAGATTACATCTGATCAAATGGGTTTTATCTTCTCTCTTCTTTAATTTCATTTTTGCAGTGTAATTTTTGACAGGATTTAGATCAGTGCAAATAGTTTATTTTTTTCACTGTTCAGTTTTCCCACAAAAAAACCCCAAGTGAGACAATGCCAAATACAAACAAAAGAAGATGGAGCAAAAGCAACAAGAATCCACTCAAAATTTTGTATACAAAAAAAAAAAAAAAAAAAAAAAAAAAAAAAAAAAAAAAAAAAAAAAAAAAAAAAAAAAAAAAAAAAAAAAAAAAAAAAAAAAAAAAAAAAAAAAAAAAAAAAAAAAAAAAAAAAAAAAAAAAAAAGGCAGAAAGCAAGAAAAGAGCCAGTAAAAAATTTAGAAACACAAATTTTCAGAAATTTCATAAGCAGTTTTGGAAAAAAGGCCAAAAATTTATTTTTTCCAATTGCATAGAATGAAAATTACTATGAGATTTACCCCCCCCCCCCCAGTATAATTTTCTCCATATGGTTTCTAATTTGTGATTACTTATAAATTTGCAAATTTTGATGAATTATTCATTATGTTTATACATTCTGTCTTTCTCCTGACTAGAAACACCAAGACTAGTTTTTCTAGGTGAATCATGGAGCAGATCTTCCATTCCCAGGCTGATCCTTCTCCTCCTTTTCTACTTGTTTTTTTTGCCTCTGAAAAAAATGAAATGTGTCATTTTGAGTCATGCATTAAAGACTTCAACATTCTGTTGGGTTTGATTTTGTATCTGTTTTGTCTCTCTCCTCTGCTATGCAATATAATGCTTTAGAACATCTTGCTGGCTGCTTGCCAGTTGTGTTGTGGGAGGAACACCTTTCTCTGGGATGTGTCAGTGGGACCACTGGGATCACTGGTGGTTTGCCATCATGGGAACTGCTTCCAAAGGGAGGCAACACTTTTCTTCTCTTCTTCAACCCCCGGTATCATACGAATCTTGCTCTTTAGGAGCCTTCATCCTCACAGATTTTCAGGTCTCCGCTGGATGAGACTTTGGTTTATACCTTCCAGACTGCCCACCTTTGAGCAGGAGGTTGGACTGCAGACCCCCAGAGATCCTTTCCAGTTATCCTGTGATTTAACTTGTGTTTCCATATACAGGGGCTATTTCAGTCTCTGACATTCATGAAAATAACATGAGCCAAGACACCACCACCACAGAGGACGTTCCCACTCTTCACCCATGTTGCATTGCTAGGCACCATCCTGCATGCTGCACCTCTTTACTGGAGAGAGGGAACATGCACTTCCCATGGACAGTTTTGTCGCACAGTGTCGTGGTTTTGCTTTGGGTCAATTTTGCCTTCCACCTTCCACACAATTACTACTAGTTGAGAGAAGGTATTTGCAGATAAAAGAGAGACAGGATTTGGGGAAAACAGTATATACATTTATTACTAGTAAAATAAAAACTACTAATAAGTTAAAGATTAAAGAATTATATCTATAGCAATTTCTACTCAAGTTGAAGTGTTATATATTTACACAAAATACTTCTTCCCTTTTATACTAGTCCAAGGAGAAGAAGTAGTCTCATTC